AGAGGTACAGATAGGGAGAGTGAGAGAAAGACCACAAGAAGGACAGGATAGACAGCAAACTACACAACCACCAGATAAGATGGAGCATCTCTCTCTTCTAGAAGCGCAAGGTGTTATGGAACAAAGACCTAGCCACATGATTACTAGACGAATGGAGAAACAAGGGAGGGGCATACAAAAAAATTGTACTTCGATGTTTTAATGATTGAGGAATGATGAAATATTTGTGTTTTAAAAGAAATAAAACCTTTTGAATAATGAAAAAAAGAACTCGCGGGGTCCTTTCAGTCATAGTATTTGTTTTCATACAATCTGCTGACTGATATGGTAAGATCAAATGTATATTTTATAGTGAATGTCCCATGGTTAACTTATAAATTTGACTAGTCTGTGTAATGACAATTATGCAGCATGAATCAAGCTTTATTTTCTGCCACTGGTAAAGAAGCTCTTTATTGCTGGGAGGACTGAATCCTTCCAGCAATATTGAAGCAGCAAATCTTTTCAAGTTTACCTGCAAAAGTAAAAGCAAATCCAGCAATAAATAATATATATTTTCAAAAATGGAAGCTTGCCCATATCAGCACCAAGCTGGATTGTGCTCATTCAAATTTTCTGGCTTTATTTCAAACTGTGCATTTCATTTCCTTTGATTAAAATAATTTGCCTATAAAATGTTCCTGCATGGATTATAACAATACCATCTAACATTTCAACTCTTCCCTAATTAAAATCTTTATGATCAGCTATTTTCTTCCAACCATTGGCCTGCAGTAAGGATAGAATTGTAGACCATTCAGCTGGATAACAGAATTTTAATTGGCGGCCCAACATAGCTGCTTAGTCATGCATATTTTTCAATTCTAAAAAATGACTATTAGCAATAGCACTTAGATTTATATACTGCTTTATGGTGCTTTATAGCCACCTCTAAGAGCTTTACAGAGTTAGCATATTGCCACCAACAATCTGGTTCCTCACTTTTACCGACCTTGGAAGGATGGATGGCTGAGTCAACCTTGAGCCAATCAGAATTGAACTCCTGGCAGTGAGCAGTGAGTTAGCCTGCAATAGTGCATTCTAACCACTGTGCCACTACGGCTCTATTATTAGCTTTAATAAACTAAGAGGTCAACCAATAGCTGGAGGTCTTCTACTCTCAGGAGACCCTATACCAGGGGTCTGTAACCTTAAACACTCAAAGAGCCATTTGGACCTGTTTCCACAGGAAACACTGGGAGCCACAAAACCTGGGTAAACATGGCCAACTCTACGTCCCTCACTCCAACCCAGTCACATGACCACTAGCCACCCCTACCCAGCCGGTCATTAGGGCAGAATTAAAAAAACACCGGGAGCCACAAAACCCTTTTCACATATCTCATTCTCTCTCCCCCCTCCCTTCCTCTCTTTCTGTATCTCTCTCTCTATGTCTCCCTCTCCCCTCTCTCTCAGTATCTCTCTCTCCATGTCTCTCTCTCACTCTCCCTATCTGTACCTCTCTCTGTGTGTCTCTGTCTCTCTCTCGCCCTGTCTCTCTGTTCCCCCTCTCTCTGATTCTGATATGAGGCATCGGGCAGGCCATGAGGCACTCTTGCAGTGCCTTGTGCATCACAGTGAACTTTAGCATGCTTCACAAAGGGGGAGATGGGGTCCCCTCCTCCTGCTGGATCCCATGATGATGCAGAGCCACAATATGACTCTGCCCCACATGCCCCTAGCAACATGATGTGGCTTACAGCTCTAAGCCCAATGTAACAGGAGGCAAGGGCTGCCTGGAGTGCAGGCAGTACTGCCAATTACCTCCACTAGACCAATTAGATCCCACAGACTAGGCCTCCTCCGAATTCCATCAGCTGGCCAGTGTCAACTGGCGACTACCCGGAGGAGAGCCTTCTCTGTGGCTGCTCCGACCCTCTGGAACGAACTCCCCGTGGAGATTCGTACCCTCACCACCCTCCAGGCCTTCCGCATAGCCCTTAAAACCTGGCTGTTCCGACAGGCCTGGGGCTAAAGACTCGCTGCCCCACTTCGAATGGTATGATTGTTGTGCTTTTAACTATGTATGGTTTCTATGTTTTTGTAACTCTGTTTGTATTTCCCCTCCCTTTTTGAGTTGTGAGCCGCCCTGAGTCCCTTCAGGGAAAAGGGCGGCATACAAATAAATTAAACAAACAAACAAAACAAACAAACAATTAAACAAACAAACAAATGGAGAGCCGAGGTGGCTCAGTGGTTAAATGCAGCACTGCAGGCTACTTCAGCTGACTGCAGTTCTGCAGTTTGGCTGTTCAAATCTCACCGGCTCAAGGTTGACTCAGCCTTCCATCCTTCCGAGGTGGGTAAAATGAGGACCCGGATTGTTGTCGGGGGCAATATGCTGACTCTGTAAACCGCTTAGAGAGGGCTGAAAGCCCTATGAAGCGGTATATGTCTAACTGCTATTGATATTGCTAAATGTGGCGTGAAGGCACGTACAGGGCTACTTCAGTCCTGCAATAAGGTTCTGGAAACCCTTCTCTTCCCCCTTCTTCTCTCACGACCCCGTCTTGCTGTGGTGGGGCCGGGATGATG